CCAAGCAGTATTGTCTTTTTTGGAAATTATTTATAAATGTGATCATCATAGTCTAATGTATCTGGCTTCTTTCATTTAGCACTATGTTTTTGATGTGTGTTGTTGTATATGTCAGTAATCCATTCCTTTTTATTATTGTGCAATATTCCATTGTCAGGATTTACTACATTTTTTATGCATTCATCAGTTGCTGGACAGTTGCTGGACATTGCCTTTTTTTGGCTATTGTGAGTAACACTACAATGACAATTCACATACAAATTTTTATGTGGACATATATTCTCATTTCTCTTGGGTAGATATCTAGGAGTGGAATTGCTGGCTGTTTAGTAAGTTTACATTTACCTTTTAAGAAACTATCAGTTTTCCAAAGTAGTTGCACCATTTTGTTCCTACCAGCAATGTATGAGGGTTCCAGTTCCTCCACATCTTCACCAACACTTGGAAATTTTAGTCTTCCTGATTTGAGCTACTCTAGTGGGTGTGAGGTGGTATCTTGTGGTTTTAATTTGCATTCTCTCCAATGGCATTGAGCATCTTTTCATATGCTTATTAGCCACTGGTATATCTGCTTTGGAGAAATGTATATTCAAATTGTTTGCTTATTTTTTTTTCTTTCCAGTTTGCTCATTTTTTAAGGGAGTTATTTGTCTTCTTATTGAGTTGTAATAGTTATTTATCCTATCTAAGTCTTCTTTCTGATAATGTTTTGTAAATATTTTCTCCCTGTCTCTGTCTTCTCTTTTTATTTTCTTTTTTTTTTTTTAAAAGATTTTATTTATTTGTCAGAGAGAGAGAGGGAGAGAGAGCGAGCACAGGCAGACAGAATGGCAGGCAGAGGCAGAGGGAGAAGCAGGCTCCCTGCAGAGCAAGGAGCCTGATGCGGGACTCGATCCCAGGACGCTGGGATCATGACCTGAGCCGAAGGCAGCCGCTTAACCAACTGAGCCACCCAGGCGTCCCTCTTTTTATTTTCTTAGTGATATCTTGTGAAGGCCAAAATTTTTTTTTATTTTGATGAAGTCTAATTTATCAATTTTTTAATGGATGTGCTTTTGATGTCAAATCCAAGAAATATTTACAAACCCCAAATCACAAACATTTCCTCCTGTGTATTCTTTGAGACTTAGTTTCAGCTCTTACATTCATATCTGATTTGAATGATAACTATGATAACTATGACTATCTATGATAACTGATTTAAAGTTTGGGGAGGTTTTTTTGGTGAGGAGGTGTTTTTTTGTTTGTTTGTTTGTTTGTTTTTGCAAATGGATGGAGCTCTATTTGTTGAAAAGACTATCTCTCCTCATTGAATTACCTTGGCACATTTGTTGGAAATAAATTGACCATATATAGGTAGGGTTTATTTCTGGACTATTCTGCACTGTTGATCTTTATGTCTACCAGTATGCCCATATCACACTGTCTTATCTACTATTATTTTGTGTTGACTTTTGAAATCAAGCTGTTTGAGTCAACTTTGTTCTTCTTTCTTAAAATCGTTTTGACTATTCTATGTTGTTTGCATTTACACATACATCCTAGGATCAGCTTATTGATATTCATTAAAGAAAGCCAGCTGGGATTTTGGTAGGGGCTATTTTGAATTTCTAGATCAGTTTGGGAAAAATTGATATCTTAACCATGTCAATTTTTGTAATCCATGCACATAATATATTTCTCATTTATTTCATTCTTCTTTCATTTTGTTCAGTAATATAATCTTCAATATATAGAGCAGTCTTATGTTTAAAAAATTATTCCTAAGTATTTTGTTCTTTTTGTTGTTATTGTGAATGGCATTTTTATTAATTACATTTAAATTGTTTGTTGCTAGTGTACAGGAATACAATGCTGTTTGTATATTCATTTAGTATCCTATAAACTTGCTAAACGATATTATTTAGTCTTTTTCTTAGATTCCTAAACTTTTCTACACAAAAGATCATTTCATCTGTGAATAAAACATTTTATTTCTTCCTTTCTAATCTATATGCATTTAGTTTATTTTTCTTGCCTTACTTCACTAGCTAGAGACTCCAATACAGTGAATTTCCCCAATCTAAGGAAGAAAGAACTTAGTCTTTCACCAGTAACTTTCACTCACCAACTGTGAGTTTTTTATAGATACTCTTTATTAAGTTAAGGAATTTTTCATTTATTCCTGGTTTGTTGGGAGTTTTTAACATGAATAGGTATTGACTTTTTTTTTCCCCAATTCTTTTTCTGTCTCTATTGAGTTGGGTTTTACCGCTTATCCTCTTAATATTGTGTATTACATTGATTGATTTTTCAACTATAATCTTGCAAATCCCACTTTTTAATTGTTTATAATCTTTTCCATACATTGATGAATTTGACTTGCCGATGCTCTGCTAAGGGTTTTTGTGTCTGTACTCATGGAGGTTGTTATTCCATAGTATTATTAATTTATTTTTCTTGTGATACATGTTTTACTTTTATATCAGGCTAGTACTGGCCTTATTATGTCAGTAGAAAAAGTATTCCTTCCCCTATTTTCTCGGTTTCTGTAGAATTACTGTTATCTTTTTCCTTTAAATGCTTGATAGATTTTATAAGTAAAATCATTTGGGACTTGGCCTTCCTATGTGGAAAGATTTTTGTGTATTAATTCAATTTCTTTACTCAGTATACATCAATTCAGAACTACTGTTTCTTCATGAGTCAATTTTAGTAATTTGTGTCCTTCTAGGAATTTATTAATTTGTCAACTCATTTCATTTAAATTGTTTAGTCTTATAGCATAAAGTTGTATATAATATTCCCTTATAATTATTTTAATCCCTTTATGGCCTGTGTTAGTGTGTCTCTTTCATTCTTGATTTTGGAAATTTCCATCTGCTTCTACCTTTCCTTGTTCAGGCTAGGTGGAGGTTTATCTATTTTATTGATGCTTTCAAAGAACCAAATTTTAATGTAATTGAAATTCTCTAGTGCTTTGCATTTTCGATTTTACTTATTTCTGTCCAGATTTTTATTTCCTTCTCCACCCTTTGAATTTGATTTGCTCTTCTTTTCCCAGCTTCTTATGATAGAAACTTAGATTATTGACTTTAGATCTTTCTTCTTTCTTAATATAAGCATTTATAGCTATGAGCTCTCCTCTAAGCACTATTTTAGCTGTGTTCCATAAGCTTAGATACTGTTTGTTCTTGCTTTTTAATTAGTTCACAATATTTTCAAATATATCCTGTGAGAAATTAGACCCATGGGTTATTTAGAAATATGCTGTTAAATTTTCAGTTATTTGAGGATTTTCCAGACTTTTTTTTTGTTACTGATTTTTAACTTAGGTCCACTGGAATCAGAGAATATCCTTTGAATGGCTTCAGTCTTATTAAATTCATTTTTGTTTTATGAACTTAGCCTAAAAAGAATGTGTACCCTGGGGTTGGTGACAGTGTGCTTATGTAGGTCAACTAGGTCAATTTGGTTGATATTGTTCAAATCTTCCTTATTGATTTTCTTTCTCATTCTATCAATTGTGGAGAGAGAGTATTTGAATCTCCAACTATAATTATTGTTTTGTCTATTTCTACTATCATCTTGTCAGGTTTTGCTCTATGTGTATTGTGGCTTGGTCGTGAGGAGTTTTACATTTATGATTGTTATATCTCCCTGCTTCCCTCTTATCATTACTAAGATTTCTAGCATTTCTACTACCATTACCTTTTCCTAAGAATATTCCTTGTCTTAAAGTCTATTTTGTCTGATATTAGTACAGCCATTCCAGCTTTCTATGGTTGTTGTTTGCCTGGTATCTAAGGGTGTCTCTTGTAGCATAAACCTGCCATACTTTGCTTTTTATTTCTCTATTGTTAGGCATTTATGTTACACATTTTTCTATAGATACTTACCCTCCAAATGTTCAATTTTTTTTAGAATAAGGAATTCTTTAGTTACCATCCATCAAACAAGAAATGTTTCAAACTTCTTCCATGATTGTATGGGCATAATTATTATCCTTGGGAAATTATAAATTAATGAAAATAAAGTATTTTAAGGGAATTATATTATATGCTTTTTACTTATAACTTAACATAATCCTTAAAATAATCCAGTCACACAGATATTTTATTCTTTTTCAGCCTGAGGATCATAGAGACTAAATAAGGGATCCAAGCATACAAAACAAGCATTCAGTGAAGGAGCGCATCCTGTTAGACTCCACATGATACATGAAGTTTTTCTTCAACTTCTTCTCTCTCTTCCTTCTGTCCATGCTCTCCTAACTCTCACAATGTTTTTTCCTAACATTTCTCATGTCCTTTTCAGGCACGAGGCGGTTCAGAACAAGTTATTTGTCTTTTTTTTGTTGTCAGGGCCAGAAATTATGGTAAACTCATTCAAAGTTACTTACAATTGATGATGGGTTGCTTTATATAAGAATATGACCAAGAATGGGAATTTTTTTTCCCATTCTTATTTTATCCCATTCTCTTACCTTATCTCTAATTGTATTGGTGGCAGATCCGGGAAAGAAACACAAGATGAGGACTGAAAAGACAGGAGTTGTTTTGCTCTTGTGTTAATGTGTGGTGTGTGTGTGTGTGTGTGTATTGTGGGGGCAGCCTCCTATGTAGTCTCAACCAGATCTCCCCAAAGTGTCCAATCCTGTCTATTCTGGCCAAGGAGGAATATCCTTTTCAGATATGAATTAACATCCATCACATAACATTTCGCAAGTTTCTAGAAAGAGAACTAAAACTGATATTTAGATTATATAAAAAAGATAGCATATAGATTAATGGTGATAACATCCTTGTGTGAGTAACTGGAAAATAATATAGGGGAGGCAAAGAGGAATTTTGTCTGAATAAGGATTTATATATATAATAATATAATATTAATATATAATAATATAAATATACAAAATTGTATATAAATATATACACACACACACATAGATATACCTTCTCTGTTCTATGTCCGAAAAGTGATCACCTACCTCTTCAGCATGAAATACCTCACTCAGCAATGATTTCCTCCAATGAATCCAAATGTTATTGTATCACCAAAGAGTTAAAGAGATATCTGTCTTTTCTGTGCCAATAGAAAGAAACACACAAGGAGAAGATTGGTTTTAAACTTAGCAGATTTGAAGTCCTTAGGAATTTCATAAACGTTATAATTTTAGATACTCACAGTGTTCCTCCATTTTAATACTTTCCCAGAGCCACCATCCTTTTTGATCCTTCAAAGGGATTTAATTTTGATCTTTCAGAAATGTTCTTTTCTCCTGAAAAGAAAAATCTGTCATAGAAACAGTAGCAAATTTAAAAAGTTTGGGTGTTTACAATTTTCTCAAACTAGTTAGAATTCTCAAGTTCTGTCCTTACTACTTGTAGTGGTGGGAGCCCTAGAGCAGAGGGTGGGGTGAAGGGAGTGTTTGCACCAAGAAGAACATCTAGGAGAGAGGTGGGGTTTTTTGTTTGTTTGTTTGTTTGTTTGTTTAAGATTTTATTTATTTATTTGACAGACAGAGATCACAAGTAGACAGAGAGGCAGGCAGAGAGAGAGGAGGGGAAGCAGGCTCTCTACTGAGCAGAGAGCCTGAAGTGGGGCTCGATCCCAGGACCCGGGATCATGACCTGAGCCAGAGGCAGAGGCTTTAACCCACTGAGCCACCCAGGCGCCCCATGGAGAAAGTTTTGCCACTGCTTTTATGCCTAATGGTGAAAGGCAAATTGTAAGATATAGAAAATAAGAGTTAGAGGTGGACCACTAGGGAGGAGATGAGCCCTTTTGTTGGATTCTTACGTGGGATATGATGCATAAATGTGTATATGCTTCCCCCCCCTTTTTTTTTTTAAATTGAGAAAGCCTTGCAAGTGTTGAAAGTCTTAAAAACCAAAGTTGAGTAACCAAAAGTAATGCCTATCCCTTTCCATAATATCCCTAATATCCATAATATCAAAGAAATCCTCTTTACCCAGGGCCCAGAAAAACCTGTTTTCTTTCTGCCCTCCTCCAACCCCATGTTCTTTTTGCACCTGGCTATTTGGTTGCTTGCCTTCTCCCATGGTTCATCTGGAGAGCTGTGTGTGGCCAGGGCAGGACAAGAGAGGAGGTAGGGTGGGCATATGCTGTATATCAATTGCCTTCCTCTCCTTCCCGCCCTAGGGCCATGTTTCTGGGCATGTAAAATGTATTATCTTTTATTCTGATTTCTCAAATTGGAATATAGATTCCTCCATCTGTATCAAGATGTCTAGAGAGCTATCTAAGGAAGTCAGAAGTAAAACTGACTTGGGGTCGCAATCCCTTTTTTAATTCTCTCTAGAAAAATAAAATATTAGGGAGACGATCCTCTAGATCAGCGTATTAACTTTGCCATTGAGACAACTGAACACCAGAGGGTCTGAGAGGCTCTGTCAGGTCTCACAGCTGGTCCCTGCCCATCAGGGACTTGGTTTTCCTTCTCTGGCCTCCCAGGACTACCTTTTTTCCACTCAGCTACACTACCTCCTTGATGGATGCTAGCAGGAGAAGGTTCTGATGAAAACAACCTTAAATTTTTAGTGTGTGAAATCTTCTATTTAGGAGATTATGTTAGGAGTTAGACCTTTTACATAAATGTTATTACTTATTATTAACTTATTTTTTCTTCATTTTAGACATCAGAAAACTGAGGTGCTGAGTTGCAGCAACCCCCATAGAATCTCAAAAATACACTCTAACCTGCTCTTCATAGGGCAAGTCCTCAGTACAGGCTTTCTGTGGAGAAATGTGGCCCAAGCAAGAAGTGTTCCTGCTCATTCACATAGAGCCCAGGGGAATGGCATCTCTTAGGACAGTCTGATATTAAAATAAACCAAGATTTGGATTGCCCAAGGCATTCATGCTAAGGCTGCCTGCTTGACACTAACCCCACACTTTGATCATTCATTCAAATCAAAAAGCATTTATTAAGCATCAGTTGAAGGGTCCAGGCAGGGGTTTCTCTTTGTGTTTCTGGCATTCACACTTCCTTGCTTCTCTTCTGTGGCTCTTCACCCCCACCCAAGAAAACTCCCCAGGGCACATGGATCTCACTGCTGGTAATATCCTTACCTGCTCCTTCCCAAGTCTTTGAATACAAAGTCCAGGAGAGAACTTATTCCACTGTAAATCTATGTACCCAACCCTGCGTTCATGGGAGCACCCCAGCCAGTATTCGAAGCTTAGAGGGGTGAAATTTCAGCGTCTGTTTTTTTCCTTGAGAACACAGAGTGAATATTTTAGAAGGGTTTTTAGGAAAGCAATTTACAGCCAGTAATTGGAAGTGCAGTGTTTTCACAAGAACAATGTCTCAGATTACAGGTTTATGATTTGTCTAAAAATATATGATTTATTTTAGGCTTAGATTTTGAAAAGGAGAAAATTAAATTTTAGGATGATTTTCTTCAAGCTTTTCTTGACATTCTTTACATCAGCAAGGAGAGATGTGGGAAGGCAAGATGGAGTTTCTAGAAAGGAGAAATCCAACATTGTTTTCCCTTCTTCAATTATGAGACTACATTTTCCTAGCCATGTACACTATTTCCAGATTATGGCTCACTCAGACAATTTACTATATTTAAAATTACATTAAATTCTCTTTGCAATGCTTAGGTCAAATATTCATACTATGTATACAGTTGGAAATTCTTCCTCATAAATCCAGTGCATGGTATGGATGTTATTTGTGTCCTTGTTGCCATGGTGACTAGAAAAGGTTAAAGCCAAAGCCTCAGAAAACAGAGTGGCTGAGCAATAAAATATCATAAATATGTGTGTGCTTCTTAAAATACTCATCTCACATATGGATTTAAAAATTTTAGAACCACCGCCTTGAAGTGAATTTTCCATTTCTAGCATGCAGGTTATTATCTAAAAAGAATATTCTCAAAGCAATCTCTTTCAACTCACTCCCCTTTCTCTCTAAACTGTAATCTAATAGCTATTTATCTCAAAAGACAGACTATGTAAATCATGGGCAATGTTTTGGATTTTAGATATGGATGAGACATGCCAATAAGAATGGAGGTCAATGAAGTTGTTTTCTGGTTGAAACACACAGTCTTTTACAAATCTCCCCTTTAAGCACATCTATATAAGTATAATAAAATATTTTTTTCCCACCTTAAGAACTGGGAAGCAAATTGGGCAGTATTTGAAAGTGCCAAGATGTGAAACATGTTTCTGTTGTACAAATTCAAACCCTTCTTTTTTGTCAGCTGATGGCCCTTGGTCCCTGACTAACCCTTTTTTATTTCCTCACACATTTTAACTCTCCTGTGAGATGAATTTTAAGGGTTTATCCTCAAAATTAATGCTAAACAGTAGTAGAGAACGTGATTCCTATAAAGCCGAGAGTCATTGCAGCAAAGGGTAAGAGAACATATCTTACATCCATACTTATATTTCCAAGTGCATAGGGAAGAAGATGGGTAAAAAACCTTCACTAAGTAATTTTCTTGTCCCCATTGCCCACTTTATGAGGATACCAGAAAGAATATTAGTACATTCTTCAGTCCATAATCCCTGGCTTAATGTTTAACCACCAACTAGCACCTAAATTCTTCACAATCCTTTATTTCAAGATATTCCTATGTTGGAAGTATAATTAAAATAAAATTATAGCAATATATTTTGGCATTTTTTCCTGCCTCTGAGTAACATCTCACGTTTCAGTATCTAAGAATCAAAGATATCTCGAACTCAATAATCTGGTCCTTCTTCTGCCATCTGGTGGAGAAATGGGGAAGTAGTTTCGTAATGAACCAAGAGTGACTTCACTGAAACCATAAACTCATCAGTCAACAAATGTTTATGGAGTTATTATTATTATTCATCATTTTTATTCAATAGGACATATTGGGGCACTTGGTACCATTAAGGACCATACTTTTAGAATATACAGGTCCCCAAAAGAACTGTGAAATACTACATAATTAATAGCTCTCCTATAGATTAGTCATTTTCCAGCAACAGATTCAACACACAGTACAAGGCAGAGACTCTTTAAGACTATGAGGTTACCACCTAGCTCATTTTAGTAAATTCGCTTTATGATGATATTCTGACATTAATATGCATATGCTTTTCTGAGTATTTTCTGAAGAGAAGGAAAGAGGATAGGAGGGTGAGGGAAAAGAAACTGTGAGGGCGCCTGGGTGGCTCAGTGGGTTAAGCCTCTGCCTTCAGCTCAGGTCATGGTCTCAGGGTCCTGGGATTGACCCCCGTGTTTGGCTCTCTGCTCAGTGGGGAGCCTGCTTCTCTGCCTACTTGTGATCTCTTGTCTGTCAAATAAATAAATAAAATCTTAAAAAAAAAGAAAAGAAACTGCCTTATGCCTTACAAAGCCAAAATTATAGTTTGGGAAATATTTTTCAGTTAACCACATAAGAGTTCCTAAAACATCTCGATAAGAGAAAAAATAACATCTCTGTAATCTGTCTGCATTTTTATCCATTCCTAATTTACAGCCCATAGAGAGTAGGGATGTGATAGTAGAGATGTGATAGTAATCATAGTAATCATGCTAACTGCCACAGAATTGAGGAAAAGTGACTTGAGGAGACTTTCTCAAGTTAACTTGAACAAAACGAAGCTACAAGCCTATGGAATTGGCCCATCTATAGCCAAATCTGAATTCCCTTCTTCTTGCCAAAGCCCACAGAGAAGAGGCAGCCATAAATCATGGAGGAGATACTGTGGTTGTTATTAAATGTCCTGTGCATTTCAAGGAAATGTGACACTTTTCTGCCAGTGGATTCTGGTGGAAAGCACTTGATACAGAAGGACTAGAGCAGGCTGTTTTATGTTGAAAGGGGCTCTTTGCTTGGCCTATTGCCATATGATCTTTGGTTTTCAGAGGACATCCATACCTAAGAAAAGCCCTTCATAGTGTTCCAGAATCACTACTATGGCACAGAGAGAAAGTAGTGCTTATGTAATCAACATGCTCAACTCAAATAGGGCCCTAGACTGGAATGTGGAGTACAGTAAGCTCCCACCCCTACTTCCTGCCTTCTCCACTCAAATCCTCTTGCCCAAATCTAGGATGAACCATCTGCCAG